GGCTTATGAGAGTGAAATATTGTATCATTGATTTTCAACTCCACCTATTTGGCTTTAGAACATGATGTATTATCTTTTTACAATTTGAATAAAAGATTTCAGATGTCAACAAAAAAGAAAAAAAATTCTAACCAAATATTTTTAATGTTTGGTATTTATTTGTGAAGTAAAACGATTTTTGAAATAGATAAAAACTGGAAAAATATTAGTTGTAGTTCCAAATTTTATAAAAATGTATTAATATTTTTTGCCAATATAATTTTATTGAAAAGGAAAAATAATATACAGAAATTATCTAGCTGGATTTAATTTTTAAAAAGTCAATAAGGGAAAAATCTCAATCTAAAGGCCAACAAAATCAAACTAAATTTTTAACCCAAATTCACAGTCCTCGATGCTCTCTGTTACATCAAACCATATCTTCAAACTCGTCTGTGCACCGTAAAATTTTTGTTTTTGTCAAGCATTTTAGATCTCAAATTTGTTTCATAGATTCTTCGTATCGGTGAGTGTTTCTACTCTACTCTCCTTATTCACCGAACGCGTTCCAGGAAAAATATTTGTTCTCTGGCTGTTTCTCAGATCTGATTTTTGTGCAATTTGGTAGGGCTGAAACGATGTCGCTTAGTATGAAACAGATGTCGTTGATCGTGTCTGCCTTAGGCGTCTTGTCTTTTCTTTTTGGAGTGATCGCAGAGAACAAGAAGGTAATAGTATCCTCAAATTCATGATCATAGAGTTCTCACTTCTCAGTATTCATGAGTCACTTTTGAGTATTTCTTGGTTGATGTTGAGAAACCAATTAGAAAATGATTAATCTTGGTGAGATACATGTTGAAAATCTATGTAATGGTAACTTTTTGCACTTTACCAGCTTTATTTATTATTATTATATTTTGGTAGATAATCCGATTATTCGGTTAATGATTTCGACCACAAGCAAAATTCGTTAAGTATCATGAGACTTTTTTGGGTTGACTTGAGTCAGTTTGTGTTCGACCTCTGATATCATGTTAAGTTTGTTGGACTTTCATTTCTGCTTGGGATACGTGGTCGTGTGCTCAAGAAGTGGTCAAATCAACAATATGCAAAAACTGTTAATTTTCGTAGATTTTCATTCTAGTTTGGTTGAGTTAGGCAGCATGCTTGAACTTTGATATTGGTGTTGTTCGTTTGTACATAATGTAGATGCTAGATTATGTTCGTTTAAGTGTTATTAAACACATCATCTAGATGGAGCATCTAGATGTAGTTGAAAATCTCTTCACAAAAATTGTAGATGTAGATGAAG